CCTTTAAATGCTGCTCTTCCCTAGTGCATTTAGATCTCACAATCAATGAACATTTCTGTTTACAGAATTTTAAATTTGCTCTCCCATTAGGGTTCTAATAAGCAACATGGTACAAATAAAAGGAGTATGGGTTTTGAGGTCAAAGAAGCCCAGCACTAATTTAGGTTCACCATTTTCTTGCTGTGGAGATTTGGAGAGGAGAGGGAGCCCCCATTGAACATACAGGCACCACTGCTCCCCATTCAACAATGCACCACTTCCCCCTTTCTCTTGGTATTTCTGAAGTCACATCTGTAAAACAAGCAGAGTAAACTTCCTTTCCATCATGCTGTGCAGCTTAAAAGAGGTAATATCTGTAAACACACAGAGGCATTCAGTGCAACAGTTTTTAGCCTTTGAATAGATCTTGCTTCTGCAAAGTGACTAGGACTCACCCAATGGAGATGGGAAAGGCCAAATGGAATCAAGATAAGTTCTGGAGGTAAAACTGACACACCTGTCTTGCAAATGGTTAGACAAGGGAGCTGGCACAGGGGAAAAGTCAAGACCCATGTGAGGTTACCAGTATACTCTAGACCAATGTATAGGCTGTACATGAATTTTTAACAGACAACTGAAGAATTCAATGATACATCATTTGTGATCTCTCAAACTGGAACCCATGCCCCAACTGAAGCGGCTATTTACCCCACCACCACTCTACTCCTAGCACAACTTTAAGGAATCCTGTTTGAAAAGCTCTTGTGAAAACAGAACACTAGCAAGCAGTAGGTAGCTTCCACGACTTTCAACGGAGATGTTGAGAGGGTACTCACTTGGCACAGCTAACACTTGTCTTCTGGGCTCTAGGTGAAACCTTCTCAGAGATGGAAGGGATGAATGCCACAAGGACAATTAATGATACTGCAAAAACTTTTTAAAAGGAACTTCAAACTTATAAAATCTGTCTCTACTTAAAAAGGCAATGATGGGCAGGGAGCACACCTCTGTTCAATTTTCAGCAAATAACAGAAAAAAAAATGGCTCCATTTCACAAAGAGAATGAATCAGAGCCACAAGTGTCTGTTCTACTTGGTAAATCCTTCTTGGAAGACTTCCTCTTTGGTAGATCAAATGTACCTATATTTCTGTGTCGGTGTGAAATTGACCTGCCTTCGCGTCTCAGCAGTATCTGCCACACCTGCACCATGCTTTAGGAGGCTGATAGCAACCAGTGGGCAATAGCATTTTTAAGCACCAAGAACAAACAAAATAAGAAGTTCAAGGTCACTGATTATGAGGATGATCTTGACAGAGAGTGAAGTTGACCAACTAAGGCCCTAGGTCACTAAATAATATGCTAGTACATTTCACTGGCTAAACCCAGGGGTCTGAAGGTTATCCTCACTGTATCAAAGACCTACCGACCCAACTGTTAAAATGAGTGAAAAAGTTTTGCCTAATTCTTCTGAAACCAGATTCTTCATTTACTCTTTTCTTCAATAGTGTGGACTTTCTGCCAATGCATGTAGATTCCAAATGTCAAGTAGGTCAGTAATAAAATGAAAAGCTAGAAAGAAACTCTAAGACATTAAAAATAGGCTTTTAAAAAATGCACCTTAGCCAGGCGTGGTGGTGGTGGCGCACGCCTGTAGTCCCAGCACTTGGGAGGCAGAGGCAGGCAGATCTCTGTGAGTTCAAGGCCAGCCTGGTCTACATAGTGAGTTCCAGGACAGCTGGGGCTACAAGGAAACCCTGCTTCCAAAAGACCAAAAAATGAAAAACAAAAGCATCTTACTAGAGGATCAGACTGGAGTATACTGAAAAGACGACGGTGATTCAGTACACGAATATTAACGGGAAAAACCCTGTGGTGTTCATAAATAGTTATAACTTGATGAAATCATTACAAAGTCAAAATTTCAGAGTAGCTACAACTGGTTGTGACGATATTCTAGCCTAAAAAGCAAAAATCATTTTAAAACTCCAAAGGTTTCCAGTAACAAAGCCATCTATTCAAACAAAGGCAATGTTCTCGCTCAAACACCTACTACTTTCTGAGTCTTTTTTGCAAATGACAGTTGAGAAGCAAGTGCCAGAGGAAGAACAAGGGTATTAGATACTCGAGTGTCACTCACAAAGTCCATGCGTGATTCAATAATGAAATTGTTCCAATTCCTCCCTTACTGCTATCATTTTGATAGCCATATACCAGCAGGCTGGGAAAAGGTTGAGAAGCCAAGGTTTGTGGGTAGGGAAAGAAGTGCATTGTTAGCCCATCCAAGAATGCCCCACATCTTGTTCTAGGACAATTGGCACGAGAGCCACTGACTTTGCATGGTCCTCACATGCTACTTAATTTCAAGTGGCATTTCCCCTCTTCTCCCTTGAGCTAAGCAACAACAACAAACAGGTAGCACAATCCATCAGGTTAAGGCTGTTGGAGAGGGTGGAGCACAGCAACCCTGTTCCAGCCAGGAGCACTTGGCACTTCCCTCTAAAGACGAAGCAGATCATCGTGCCAGAAGCTTAGCAAATACTGGATGAGTGTTTTTAACTTGACCTCTCTTCCCACTAAATTCATGACCAAGTTCCTGTGTCATGACGGGCAAATGATAAGTAGCAAACTGGGCAACAATGGTTTTTGTTAAGTAAATGCACTTGTATTCCCTCTATGTTCAAGAGGATTTTCCACTTTTCACTAATCATCCTCCAAAAGAAGTCAATTCCCCAATACAAAGTTCAAAACCCAAAATGAAGAGTGCCCAGTCCATGCTAACCTTAAACAGCTCTTGACCAAACTGGAGTTCCTTCTGTCTCATGACACAGATTCTTAAAGCAACTGAAAGAGCATCTCATTTAAAAAAGCTTTTTGATTAATTTATGTAAATGTATCATTCTCAATTGGCTTCACTAGCATCGGAAGGAATAAACAATGCAGATCACTATCTTTGTACAAGTCCTAAGCTTCTGCCAAGGCAATGCCTCTGATGGAAATTGCAGGAATATGTGCCCAAATGTGAACATAAGTAAATGTGTATGATAAATGTGGACGCTGGGGACTGACACAGATAAAGGTCTGACTGGACAGAGACGGCTGGAGACAGAAGGAAAGACACTGGCTCAGCTCTATCCCAGTAAGTTCATGGCAGCTTCATGGCCTAAAAAACAAAAATCAGTGACAGCACAATTTCTACTGAGAAGGCTAAAAAAATGCTCCTTCTCAGGCAATTCAAAATAATGCATTTTTAAGAATATAAAGAATTTTATCACAAAACACACTGTCATGTAAAAAATTTAGAGAGGAAAGAACCAAGATTGTAATGCTTATTAAATATCATTCAGGATCGGAAGCTATTTAAAAGCTATTAGATTGGCACCTGGAACCCCCAAACACCTACTCTCCGCTGGGAAGGAGAGGCTGTGCCTCTTCAATCATCCCCTAAATGCAAAGAGATTTGACCCCCATGCAATAGATAAAAGTCACCCAAAAAATGAACAAAAGAGGTGTTTGGAAAAACCAGAACACCATTCATCCCAGCTAACGACTTGTTCATTATGAGTGATGATGGATAAAGACTTCTCATGCTGAGATGAAATCAAGATTTATATGCATTGTTTCCTCTCCCAACTTGTGGGAAGATCATCATCATTTAATTCTATCTCTGCGGCCAGTGATGGGCATCCAGAGAGCTGGTTATCAAACGGCGCAGTCAGCTGGCAAAAGCCGAAACGTGCAGTTGGCACATCTGGACGGAGCCGCCACAGCCGAGGGTGAACAATGACTCCTGGCAAGCATCCAAATTGCTTGCAGACGCTAGCAGGTCTCATCTACAACCGCCCCTACCAGCATCTCTCTCTCTCTCTCTTTTTTATGAGAATCAGATTTTCATTGCTCCATTCAATTGCTCTCCTCTGCCATTTTTTACAGCTCTTATCGTTCCCCTGGAATATGGCCTTGAGACAGCTCATCCGTGTCCTTCACTGTGTTATCTCTTCTAACTTTTATTAAAACTTCAGCTTTCATCTGAAGATAGCTAATTAAATCTGGAACGGATTATATGTTTCCCCTTAAAAAGAGAACAAAACTATTTTCTTCAACCCGAGCAACACTTTTTACTTTCCAAAAGGTGAAGTCAAAGGTGATAAAGAAGTGTTTCACCTACAAAGCTAAGATATTTGACTTGTCATATACAGGTGATTTATGGTACCACAGTCTGTGACAAGACAAATCTTTGAGCTATTTCTGAAAATAATTGTTTCTCAATACTGGAAATACTTTTGTCCTATATCCCTTACATATCATAGTTAATAGTATAAGTCTATTTTCTACATAAAGTTGGATAATGAGGAGTTACAGATTAACAGCTATGTGTGCACATCAAGTGATTTATCTTTTTAAGACTATCTTTTGAAGGCTTCTCCTACTTAGTACAAATGAAGAGAAGATTTTTCCCTTCCCTTTTTTCTCTCCCCATATCCTGAACACTAGTAACCTAAAATACCTCCATGGAAAATTGTTTGAAAACATGAAATTGGAAACAGTGGTTCAAGTTTAGGGTTTTGATTTTGTGTGTGTACTGGAGACAGAACCAGGCCCATGCACAGCCAGGCCAGCACTCTGGCACTAAGCTACATCTCTAGCTCCTTGACTTGGATTTAAGACAGCTTTACATTAACTAATGGTAAATACAAGTAGCTCTGTCTTAACTGACCACAAATTGTTAATGATGGAATGACCAGAACTGATATGAACGTATCTTCTGACTTATGCTACCAACTCAGTTCCTTCTGAGGCCCAGAGAAAGCTTTAAAAAGCCATTTTATAATACCATAGATCTGCTAACCAACCTTCAAGAGATAATATCCAAAACAATGTAGTGGGTCATTGCATGCACGCATGCACACACGCAATCAGGCAAGCACAGGCGCGTGCGCACACGCACACACACACACGCGCACACAGCCCCTTAACCTAAGGATCAAACTTCCCCTGCCTGGCTATGATTTAACCAACCCACCTGAAATTTTCTGGGATCCTTTCCTTCGCTTCACTGCCTTTAGCAAGATCTCCTTCATGGTGACCTTTGTGTTGTCCACCTGAATAAGGGAGAATCCATGAGCAGCATTTCTGTAAGAAAAGACAGATGTGAAAGAAATCATCACCAACATTCAATCACAAAGATGTTACTACAACCTTCACCTTGCCTCAGGAAGCTTTAAAGCAACTGTACAGTAAAGTGCCAGCTGTTTAAGAATAGGTTGGAAAATCCACTTCTAACATGTTTGCAGGGGTGTTCTAGAGTAAGTAGTACCAAGTAGCATGGGGCCAAAAAGAACCTAACTGGTCTGTGGGGTCAGTAGGAACACGGGCTCCTAGTGTTGGCTTCCTGGCCAAATCCTGCTGTAGGATCGACAACTGATACACTTGGCTTATGTCAGTAGATGTCACTATAAGCAGATGCTCCTGTCATAAGCTCATGGTGCCCCAGAGGAAAAATGTCATAGGGGAAAGGAGCTCCACAGCAACACAGAGAAAGGGAAAAGGCTCTTCCTAACTGCCTAGTAAAATAGCTATCTATCCATCTATCTTTTTTGGTGTTTGGAGACAGGGTTTCACTACATAACCCTGGTTGGTCTAACACTTGCCATGTAGACCGGGCTGACCTCCAATTCAGAGACCCACCTGCCTCCACCATCCAAGTGCTGGGATTCAAGGCGAGTGCCACCACACTCAGCCCACCCATCTTTTAATATATGGTTTGAATACAGAGAACTTCACTATAAATGGTTTCATTTACTTAGTCCTAGAAAGTCAAAGAATCAGTTTATGCAAAAATAACTGTTAAGACAAAATGCTAATACGACCTGGAAGCTTCTAGTCAAACTGGATTTGGGGAGGATTCATCTAGATTGGAGAAAAACAGCAAAAGAACAGGAAACAAGGATGCTAAAAACCAGCAGCCCACCTTCTGTGTGCGACGTAACTTCACTGAGACTGTTAATTGCAATAGCAAGTATCACAAACACTACCATACGCTTGGGCCCTGGGACAAAACAGGCCAGTCCCAAGTAGCTCGTGTAACAAACGGGACCCAAGTTTCCAACTCCAGAACATGGGAATTGCTACAAGGAGTTTGGTTGCATTCCCATTCCCTATGAGAAGCTCAAAGGGGAACATGGCCAAAAAAATAGCAGAACTTCACAGTGACAATAAATCTGAAAGAAAAGCCAAGTCCCCAAAAAGCTTCCCAATGGTAGGACAGGTTGGGAAGGGGCACGAAGCCCAGGTTAGACCCATCCCAATAACTGGTGCTCAACAGGGACCAGGGGCTGGATCTTAAAACCAAGGACCCAATTTGCTTCCCTAATACAGAGCCACCTCCACTGCCCCCTCTCCGTATGGCTTGCTGTTCAATCCCTGAATTCCATTTGTTAAAAAGCAAAAGCTGATGCTGGTCTGGCCAGCACAATCATCCATTTTAACTTGGTAGAGTTCTTGCTATCGAACAGCAGACCTGAGAACTGTCAAGCTAATTTTACTGAACATTGTTACTGAATCATGCCTGAGCTCCAGCCATTCTTTTTACCTCAGAAGCTGGACCCCATCCCAGAACAATCTTTAAAACTTTATTTTACTGATCAAAGCAAAATCAGAAATAGCTCTTTAAAAAAATGAAAAAAAAAAAACCCAACTATATTTAGGGAGAGATGTTGTAAGTGATACTTTGGCAAGAGTACCGATATGTAAAGTGCCTTGTGCGTTTAAAAAACTTGAGGGTATTTGCTCTGGCATGAGGCCAGTGTATGTTTGGAACAAATGCCCATCAACCACACTCAGATCTGCCTTCCCCTGCTCTCTCCTCAGAAATCAGATGTGCTCCATCTGTGACAATATGTTGGGCAACGGGTATACAGGGCTGAAAGGAACAGAAGTTCTTGGGTATTCACAAACTGGTTCTGGCCTAGACCTTACAAACTCTCATCCACCTGCGATCTACCTGAACTATAGATTTGTTTATAAACCTTATATTCTTTCTTCATCTCAGTCAGCTGACAGCATCACTCCAAGGCAATATGTTCATCTTTTTTGGCAAAAGGCAGACTAAAAGCTCAAAAGGCAGCCTTGCATTTGGACCAACTTCCATAAATTAAAAGTGTCCTTTTAAAAGATTTTTGAGCAGAGGAAAATCCCTAGTCTGTAGTTTTCAGTCATTTTACCAAAATGTACCTGGGTGACAAGGTTAAAGCAAGCAGAGGAAATCCCCGGCACTTATCATCCACAGGCATTACTGATAAATTGTGTGGTGGAGGAATAAAGGATTACCTTCTGTATTTTTTCATTACACTTTTCTTTTGTTACAGAATACATAAATCCATTGTGGCACAATGTAATATGTATCACCATGCTACACCTGCGGACGCTTCCGAGCGGCTGCCATGTCTGTGCAGTCAGGAATGATAAGTGAACCACCCGTGAATGTTAACGATAGTGATCATTCTGAGGTAACTCGGCTCTCCATCTTCCTTTACAGCCTCCGTGCTGAAGCCAGGGTAGCAAGGTTCATGAGAGGAAAATGAAAACAACAACGAAGGGAAGGGGCGCGCCACTCAGAACGTGCCTCCATGAATGTGCAGCATCTTACTCTGGGGTTCCATTTCTGTAAAAACATGCACATTAAAGGAGAGCGGCCCTGCCCTGGGGCTGCGTGCTGACCTAATCCAAGTTTCCTCGGGTCAGGCCCACAATCCACTCCTTTTCCTTCAGACAAATGCAAACTTTGGATCTTGTTTTGTGTGCAACAATGCAGGAGGGGGTTCCAAGCAACACGTGCAGGTTCCTAAAGCTGCAGTGAAGCACGTGGCCCCCAGCACCCAGCTGGGTGGAACTGTTATGTTATGCTCCCATTTAATAAATGGAAATGGAGACTTGCTACCACAATTTTCAGCTTGACTTCCAAACATTCTGGGTTTTATGCCTCATTTCTTTACATCCAAGGTTTTTTATGGGCTTTCTAAAAAGTCTATTGCAATTCATCTTTTAAAGCTGTTCTTATTCCACAGAGGGCATTGGGTCTGCGATTCAGAAGACAATGCATTTATGGGAAAATACGCTCCTCATCCTGCTCACCTTCCCTTGGGCTGGGACTTGCGTGGGGTAACTTGCCAGGATGGACCAGTGTGTCACACACAGAGCCAGTGTCTTGGCTCAGGACAGGCAGTTGGCGTCTCCCAAAGGCAGGGCATCCCAGGGGCACTAAGCAGCAGCAGCTGCCCTCGTGCAGCTCCGTGACAACGGCCTATGTTGGGCCAAGAAGAAACTCCACGTCAGGGAGCTGACTAAATGCTGCCAGGAGTGCTTCAGTCAATTCAAAGCTAGGTCCTGTCAAGTGTGCTAACTACTGAAAAACGTACGGGCATTTTAAAAAGAGATTACTCACCTGAGGCATTCAACTCTGTGCCTGAGAAAAGCCACTCAGTTTCCACAGATGCTTTTGGGGGAGGGAAGAGAAGGGGGCTGAGACATGGTCTTGCTATTTAGCCCAGATTTGCACTGAACTTGTGACCTTCCTACTTTGGCCTCCCAAGTGCTAGGATTGTAACATTCTGTAACCACTTATGGCTTACCACAGAATTCTGACACCAGCATTAGCCCAGTACCATGAGCATTTCTCTAAGTGGTGCACCAAAGGAGGCAAGAGGCATACAAGGTCTTGTCTCAAAGCTTAGGTTCTCTGCACAGGGACCCAGCAGGAGCTGGATGCCAAGTGGGAAGGGCAGCACACTGGAGAGGAAAGCACTCAGCTTGGAAGTTAAATGCCCTGTGATTGAAGTCCTGCTGCTTCACTGTGAGAGCCCCTTGGTGTCACCCATGCAATGAGACTGCCATGAGGAGAAAATACACAATGAACGTCAGGCAGTTGGCACGTGGGGTGGTAAAGGTAAGAGGTGCTTTCCTTCAACCCAAGTCATCACCCCAAGAGAAGAGGCCTCATGCAGCCCCTCAGAGAATGGATTCAACACTTAACTGTAGGTAGCAAGGAAGCACTAAATTGTGTGATCTGCTGCTTGGTGGAAGCACCTAGGGGCTTGTCAGCAAGTAGCTTTTGATCCAGGCATCAAAACCTCCCTGAAGGACAGCACATGGGCTCAGTTTTCAAAGCATTCCTTTTTGAGAGAGTAAACTTCAGAAGCAGCACAACTCACTGGCTTTGCGGGGCAGGGTGTTAAAAATCACCACCAAGCTATAGGGAATTTCAATGAGAATTAAGGTTTTTGATTTGTATAATACATGTTGTTCCCTACCAAACAATAGTAGCAACTACTGTTTATTGAACACTTACTACATGCCCAGTGCTGTTTTTAATCTGTTAAAAATAAAACTCTGTATGCATCAGGAGACCAACCTGAGGCAGCACTCACACTTTGGACTCAGAAGTCAACAATCTGGTCCCTACCATACACAGTACAGTCTGTGGGAGAGAAAGACGAGGGAGCAAACAGATAATGACAGTTCTCTGTAAGAAGACGGGAAGGCACGCTCAGAGTGCTATGGAGACCTAATCCAGCCACACCTGGGTGAGGGTTAGAGGAGTTTTCCTCATGGGAAGATGTCTCAAAACACACTTGTGGTCTAGCTTTATACCATGCCAAGGGAGATGGGGGCAACAATACCAGGAGGCAGCAGAGCACGGTAAGCTCTAGAACCCCATGGTTGGCTTGGAGTCAAGTTCTGCCTTTTTTTGGGTAAACCAGATAATCATTCTGACTTCATTTCCTCATGGACAAAATGGGATGGGAATAATTCTTGGATTTGTGAAGTATTCATAACAGCAATTATCAAACAATAAATACTTAACAAGCTATAGCCAACATGCTAGCTCCAGCTTTTTCTTAAGAATTGATATATAATGGTCAGGCATGGAAGCATATACCTGTAACCTCAGAACAAAGGAGTGCTATATAACTACAACGGCAATAGTCAAGATGGTCTCAACACTTACTCTTTTCCATAACTCCACCCCCTCTCCCCCCCGCCGGAAAAAGGAAGGTGCTACTGGTCCCATTTTTAAACAGAGGAAACTGAGAAGTCTGGCCAGTGAAGATATCTGTCTGAAGTACACACTAAGT